TCCGGGCTCACAGAGCGCTCAATGCCAGGACCACAGCCCCCCACCCTGCTCGGGGTCCCTGCTAGCGGCACCCAGGTATGGATGGAGAGCAGGGTGGCCGCTCTGGGTGGCAGGGAGAAGAGGCGCCGCCCCCTCGGCCAAGGGCAAGATGCTGTCACATGTCCCGGGGCCCCCTGCCGGCTTCCCTTCTCCAGAAACTCCGTCATTTGTTCCGTTCCTTGGTGTCACGCTTCCAGGGCACCCTGGGAGCAGAACGGGCCCCATGCAGGCAGGCGCGCACTGGGGATGACCAAGGCCATGAGCCAGGGTGCCACCCCGGGCCCCAGAGAGGAGCGCTCACCGAGGAGTCGGCGCCACCGGGAGCAGGGCGACACACACAACACACATGCCCACGTGCTCCTCACACACTCGCACGTGGACACATTGAGAAAAAAATCAGAAAAGGGGGCCGACTGAGCTCTTGCTTTCCCCACGACGAGCAAGGAGAACAGAAACCACCGTCCGGATCCAAGAAAGAGTTAGGAAATGAAGAGACTGAGCAACTCTGGACCTTCTTGGAGACACAGCAAAAGTAACACCTATGTCGCAGGACTGGAACATTCCGGATCCGACCGGGGACTTCCAGAGGCCAGGGAAACGGGAATCGTCACAAGGGGCAGGGAATGAAGCAAGCAGAGAGCTACATGGCCCGGAGCACGAGGGAACGTTCCAGAAGATGCGTTCCAAACCCAACACGCCACCCCCAAGGATGTGAATGACCACATGGGGCAGGAGGGATGTGCACTTTTGGACGCGGCCCTCGTGCTGTTTGCCAACACGCATCACCAGGAAAACCGTTAAGGCAAAAACCGTGTCTTTGAAAGGGCCGGGTGACGTGCTTCTGGTATTTTCCAAACGCACTTCTGCTGCAGAAGGCGTCGTCTACCCCGGGGGGCTCAGGGAAAGATGTAAAGATCTTCCGCTGAGGAAGGCTGCCTGAGGCTCTGGGGGCTCTGGAAGGTGAAAGGCTGGAAATAGAGGATGTCCCCCCCCATCCCCACATCGTCCTGCGTCTCTGGGAGACCCTGCTGTGCCCAGGTCCCCGCAGCTGTGCGGCCTGGCGCGGGTCCACAGCGGCGGTGGCCCTGCCATCCGTCTGCCCGGCTGATGGAGCCAATGTCACTGGCCAGGTAGGGGCCTCTCCCCACCACCTGCTGCCGCCAGCCCGTCCTGAAGGAGGCCTGGGCCGCGGTGCGCGGGCAACAGTCCCCCGTCCAAAAGCCAGGTGTCCACCGCCACCAGAGACATCCTGGGGCCGCAGTCAGGGCGAGGCTGGCTTCTGCGGCAGGCCCCGCATGAGCTCCCAGGACTCCCGGGGTCTTGTCTTCCCGTCCTGGCGGTGACGTGGGGTTTCAATGAGTTTTGAGCGAAGGCCCAAGTCAGATCCTCAGAGCTCCTGGAGGCGACCCTTCGAGGCTGTGCCCCTCCGCTGGGCCCCCCCAGTGAGTCCCCTCCCCAGCACAGAGGTCACACTTATCCTCCTCCCCTGGAGCCCTCGGAGGGCGAGCGGCCCCGCCAACACCCCGACTTCACTTCCAGGCCCCATCGCGGCGCAACAATCTGTGGTTTTAACCCCCGCGTCCCATCTGCAACGTAGGAGCGTGGCGGCCCCAGGGCCTCACACCACCTGGGGCCTCCAGGGCCTGCTGCGCCTTCACGGAAACAGCACAGAAGCAGGTGGGGGGGGCCTGGGGGATCCTGGGATCTGCCCCCCCCCCGCAAGGAGGTGCCGCTGAGTCATCGTGCAGACGTGCACCGCGGGGCTCGCAGGGACCGTACCCCGCCCCGGAGGAGTCTAGGTTTCCAACTTCTGACACCAGTGCCTGGCGGGAGGCAGCAGGCGGCCGGCTGCACCTGAGCTCACCCCCTTGTCCTTCCCTGCTCTTTGCTGCCCCCGGAAAGGGAGGCCAGAGCCGCGGGGAGGCCCGTCCCGTCCCGTCCAGGGAGGCGCCCCCGATTCACCGCCAGTTCCCCAGGACCGCGGGGGCCACGTACGTGGGATCACCCCGCCGGGGGCTCTCCCTCCCGTCTCTGCTCATGAAAATATACTTTGGACTCGGGCCTGGAAGCCAATCCAGAGGCAGGGGCAAGGTTCTGGTCCTCTTTTGCACATTTTTCTTCGCGCGGGGAGGGCGCCGTCCACGGGCTGCCCACCTGAGCGTGCAGGCGTGTACAGTGGGGACCCGGCACCGCCACCGCCCTGCAGCCAGTCTCCGGCCTGTGCGCCACACCCCCCCGCGGGAGCCAGTGCCCCGAATGCCCCAAGGGCCCGTCTCACTTTGCACACGAGGCTTGGGAAGGCTTGGCAGGCCACGGCCGGTCCCAGAGCCAGACCCCAAGACAAGGGACAGCGGGCCAGTCCCCCCTCATGCTGCCCTCCTGTGTTCCCTTCCCGTGCCCAGCTGTGTGCCCCAGTGCACCCTAGCCCAGCCGTACAGTAGGTGCCAGCCCACTTGAGAAGGACCCCCCCCCCCGCCCCATGACACACAATGCTTCCCCTCGGAGCCCCTGCTGGAATCTGCAAGTGCGAGGCCCCAGCCTGCTCCGGCTCCATCTGGCCCAGCCCAGCCTGTGCTCAGGCTGGTCCACGGCCAGTGGGCGGGCCATCCCCACCCTCTCCCAGTCTGCTCCAGTGGTATGCAGGTGGTGGGGGCCGGGGGCAAAATGCCAGCCTGGACTGTGGTGCACCCTGCAAGGCACCCTGCGGAGCTGTTTGATCCTCCCAGAGCTAAGCAACCAGGGGCCAAAACGAGTGTTTGTGGACTGATAAGAAATCTAGACTCTGCTCAAGGAAGCACTGTGTCCAGTGAACTGAAGAAATTTCTGGAAATGATTCCTGTTAGGGGCTGAACTGTGTTCCCCAAATTTCTTTGTGGAGACCCTGGCGCCCAGATGGGGACACAGACACGCACAGAGGAAGCAGGTGAAGACACCTCCCCAGGGCACACGGAGCCGTCTCGGGGGGACGCAGCCGTGCTGGCACCTTCGTCTTGGGCTTCCAGCCTCCAAAACTGAGAGAATAAACTCGGCGAGTGCGAGCCGCTCGGTCTGCGGTGCTTTGTCACAGCCGCCCAAACACCGCGACACTGCTGCGTCTGGGGTCCAGCTTGTTTGGAGGACCAGCACCCCTGGTTTCTCCCCTCGCCAGCCAGCTCCATCCCCAAACACTGTATCCTGTTTGGGTAATTAGGAGGAAGGGGAGGTAATGAGGGCAAAACACATACACGGGAAGCAACTGAAGACCCAACCCACATCCCCTCGGGGCAGGGATCCCAGCTGCGACGAGATGCTCCAGACACACCTATGTGCCACCCAGCCCTCCCAGCCGTCTGGTCCTCCTGCGCGGTGGGAGGTGAGCACGGCACCCTGGGCACTGCTGGCACACCTCGTTCAGCAGCTGGCACCTCCAAGAGATGTCCACATACCCCATCTCCCTGGGAGCAGCCATCGCGCCCATTCTACAGGTGAAGCAACTGAGCTCCGTGTGGAAGATGGCCCCCTCAGGTTCACGAACCGAACAAATGGCCCCTGCTTTCAGAGACACCCTGCCACGCTCCTCCTGGGCCCCACAACCCCGGGAGGAAGTGCTGAGATGCCCGTCCGCCCCCCACGACAGGTGGCAGATGACATGACCATATACCACCCGCCCCCCAGCCTAGGTCCCACAGCCCCTGCACGCAGGCGAGGATGCTGGGCACAGGTAAGAACCGCAGCTCTGACCTTAGCAGGACTCTTCCCCAGGTGGGCTGCCCGGAGGAGCCCCTCCCCAGGGTAACTGGCGTGGAAGCCGAGAGCACGTGCCCGGAAGGAACGAGGGGCATCACTGGAGGACCCAGGCCAGCCGAGGAGGGGGACATCTGCCCGGTGCAGGGGGCGAGAAGGGAGTGTGTGCAGAGGACAGGGAGGAGGGACTGGGCACCGGACGCAGGGAAGCCAGCAGGTGCCCTGCACACCTCTACCAGGGGCAGCTCCTGAGGTTCCCTGGCCAAGAGGGGCGAGGGCTGCCCCCACCCTCCTGGGGCTGTTCTCCAGGGCCCCCGCCTTAGAGACCCTGCACCCTTCTCCCCAAGCACAGCACCACCCAGGGACCCTGCCCACGCAATCCCTACAGGCGGCAGAGCTCCCCCTACCCCCAAGGAGCTAGGGGCGCGCACCACCTGCTTCTAGCAGGGAGAGCAGGTCAGGGACAACAGGCCACGGTGGGCGGTCCAGGGGAGCCACGACCTTGTCCCGAGCACCCAGCACCCCTGCCGGCGGACAAGGCAAGGAGGTGCCCATCACCCTGGTGCTGCCTCTGGCCTGGCACGAAACCCCACCGCATCCAGGCGTCCTCCAGCCCCTCCAAGGGCCGCCCAGCCACAACCTTGGGGCTGCGAGAGGAAGCCTGGGTGCCTGGCCCGTGGGACCCATCAAGGGCAGGCGGGAGAGGCGGGGGGAAGCCCGCCACCAAGTACAGGCTGCGACGCGAGCGACGAGCAGCTTCCAAAGCCAGAGGGGTCGGGGCCCCACTGGACACCTGCAGGGAGGCCTTGTCCGCCCCCGCCCCCCCCCCCCCCCCCCCCCCGGCGACCACCTCCCCCCAGAGTCCTCGGCAAGGCGGGGCCCGCCCGGGCTGCGGGAGCGCACCTGCCCCCGCCCCCGCCCCCCGCCCCCCGCAGGTGCGCGCTGCAAACACCTGCCTCCCCGCCCACCGCCGGCGCCCCCGGGGCAGGGCCGGTGCAGGGCCGGGGCGGGGTCGGCGGAGGGCACCGCCCCCGGGAGCCCCGGGAACCCCCGGGAGCCCCGGGCCCGCACGGGCAGCGAGTGCGCCACAGCTCCCGGGGGGGGGGGGGGGGGCACGCCCGGCCCGCCGCCCCGCCGCCCCGCCGCCCCGCCGCCCGCCCCCCGCCGCCCGCCGCGGCCGGGCCAAGGTCACGGGGACCCCCGGCCGGTTACGTAAGCCGGGCCGGGCCGGCGCGTACCTGCAGCGGGAACGTGGCCGCCCGGTTGCCCACGTAGCCGCGGACGACGTGGCTCTGGATGGAGAGCACCCGGCACTCCGCCTCCATGCCGGGCCGGCACCGTCCGCGTGCGCGCCGCTCGCTGGGCTCCGCTCGGCTCCGCTCGGCCCCGCTCGGCCCCGCTCGGCGCAGGCGCTCGGCTCCCGGTGACCTCAGCGCGGCCGGGCCGGGCCCGCGGGGCGGGGCGTGGGCGGGGCCGGCGGGAGTGGGCGGGGCCGGTGGGCGGGGCCGGCGGGCGGGGGCGGGGCCTCTCTCGAAGCCGCGCCCCCGGGCCCCCGCGGCGGCCGCGCTGCGCTCCGGGCGGGTGGGGGGGGGGTCCGCGGCGCCGGGAATCCCTGGCCCTGCGCCCGCCGGTCTAGGGGGCGCCGGCCGCTGAGACCCGCGCTGCCCCGAGACCCTTGGGGACCTCGAGGTGCCCCCCCTCCCTCCCGGACACGTGGCCCACCCTCCTGCCTGCCGCGGGGCGCCCCGGGCCGGCTGTGTGCTCCGCGCCCCTGCACCCCCCATCTCCACCTTCAGAGCCCCCCCACCCCCGCCCTGGAGTCACTACCTGGGGCTTCAGCTCCACTGGGCCCAGCCATTCCCTGGGGGGCTTCCGACTTCAGGACTGGGTGACTTGGGTCCCTGTGGCCACCCAAGGCGGCCTGTGTTTAAACCTCTGCAGCGGGGCGCCTGGGGGGCTCCCTGGGTTGAGTACGCATCATGCTTCGGGGGTCCTGGGATCCAGTCCTGCGTGGGCTCCCTGCTGGGTGGGGGGGTCTGCGCCTCAGCGGTCCAGGTTTTCAGGAGGAACTAGATCCTAATTAATCCTAACAGTAGCTAGTAAGGCCTAAGGTCTATGGAGCCCTTACCATGTGCCAAGCCCATTTCACCTGTTAACATTTAAAATCCTCAACACCTCGTGCGGTGGAGGGTCATCCAGTGTCACCTGACAAGAGAGGAGAAGTCACAGGTTACAGAGTCAGAGACAGGTGCTGGTGAGAGCCCTACGGACGGCAGGGCCCAGCAGGGTAGCCGCTGGCCTCACTGCCTTTTCTCTGTCCTCTTCTGAGGTCAGCGGCCCTTGGCTCTTAGGAGGGCCTGATGATCCCTCTGCAGCTCATGTCACCCCTCCAGGCCACCTTGTCTCTCACCTACTGACCCCTGCTTTCCTGCGCAAACCTCATGAGCACCCTCCCCCTTCTTCATCCCCACCCCTGACACCGTGAGCCACAGGTAAATCCAGAAGAGTAAAGGGTGCGGGGAGAGGCTAACCGGCCTCAAGGGGTCTCAGGCTCTGGTACCCTCTTCCTTGACGGGGGCAGAGGTCATCTCCCTGGGCACGACATTTTGGTGAATTTCCTGGGCTTTGGAAATCTAGGCTCCTCACTCCCCGTGTCCCTGCTTCCCAAACTAGTCCCGGGAGAGTCACCTGGAGAAGCTGGTGGACCACCCAAGGCCCAGCCCTGTCCCACTTCACTGAACCTGGCCCCAGGGTGCTCTTTCACTTCAGCAGGTGCTTCTGGGGCCACTCAGGTTGGGCAGGTGAGTGAATTTGGGATTTTATGAGCACTGTTATGCTGCTAATTATAAGTCCACAAACGAACCTCTTTCCCGATGACTTGGATAGTAAAGACCTTCAGAAACCACAAGTCCATTGAAAAGATTCTCACAGTCCTGGCCGGCCAGGGGACGCCAGTCTCACAGTCCTGGCGCCTCACCGCTGTGTCGGGGGGTGGGGGATGGATGCGGGGCCCCCTAGGACCCCTCGCACCACCTCCCGTGTCCTTCTGAGGCAGGCCTGCCCTTCCTGGGAGAGGACACTGTCCCCAGTGCGGAGCAGATGCCCTGCAGGGTCGCTCTTCGCTGATTAGGAGGAGGCAGCTGACTGCAGGGTCCCCTGTGGGGAGCGTGGCTGGAGAGGCAAGGGGTGTGCGGGGGCAAGTCCAGGAGGTTCCCAGAAGGCAGTTCACCCAGAAAGAACTGAGAATTCTCTCCTGCTCTGAGCTTGCTTTCCAAGAGAGCTCTTGGGAGCCCCTCTGAGCTGCTGGGGGCAAAGTGTGTCCGGGAAGGACTTGGAGCCTTGGAAGCTGAGCCCGATTTTGGAGACCATATGCCAGAGATTAGTAATTTTTTTTTGAAAAGCTTTCCACTTGGATGCGATTACGTATAAGCTGTGTAAGCACATTTTCACCTAAACCCTGGTGGCATTTGAAATGCCCAGATTGGGAGGGCACACCCGGAGGGAGTCTGGGCCGCGGCCTCTGATCGCAGAGGCTCATTGTGTAAAGGGCGCTAGAAACGGTTTTCTTTAACGAAATGGGAGGCCCTCGGGTCTTGTGGTCGGCCAGCAGCTTGGGTGGGCACCTCTGCCCTGCTGACCGGGAGAGCCCAGCGCCTAAGACCTTTGAACGACGTCAACCCCCTCCATTCTTGATGAGGGAGCAGAAAGCAAGCTGAGGGCCAAGTGCAAGCCGACAGCCCGCGGCCCTCTCCCCGCTCCCAGCTGGGGTGCGTGTGGCAGTCCTCAGGCCCTCCTGGCTGCCCCCAAACTACGGGGAGGGAAAACACATGGCAAACGGATGGAGCCCACGGCCCTGCAGGACACAAGCGTCCACCAGTGCACCGACGTCTTCGTGACTTACAGGCCTTCTTACTCCATAACCTCCCTTCCAGAAACCCAGAGACTCAACTTCCCGGAGCCCCAGGAGCCCCAGGGCCACATGTGGGAAACAAAGGTGGAAGGGAATGCAAATAAAGTAAAATGTTCTTATAACCCATGGCCTGCGGGGGCGGGGGGGGGTGGGGACGGGAGGGGGGGAGATGCCTGGGGCGGGCAGAGTGCACCACTCCCCCAGGAAACTCCCAGGTGTCCTAACCCTAGTGACTTCCTAGACAGAGACATGCCCCGCGTGACAGCGGCAGGGCCTCCAGCAGCCTGAGCGTCCTCTGGAGTCTCAGAGACCTCCAGGCCGCCTCCCTCCCCCTCTCCTCCCCCAGCTCCCGAGTAGAGGACCAGCAGCCCTCCTGGCCCCGGGGCAGCTCGCTGTCCCCACGGGTCCTGACCCCCGGCTTTCATAAAACCACCTTTTTTGCACCAGACATCTCAAGAATTCTTTCTTGGCCGTCGGCTCCCGACTCCACCAACATTCCGGAATGACCTCATTCTGACCTCGAGCTGGACTTTCTAACCCTTTACCTTCCCTCCAGCTCAAGCCTTAACTCAGGCAAAGCACCCTGTGACGGGAACCCAAACTACCGCCTCAGGCGGTAAGGACTGCAGGCGAGACCCCCGGGACCGACCCCAAGACACCGCTGCACCTCACCTTCGAGGCCTGCCTGCACGTGCTGACTTTGCTCCGCTTTTCCTGCCATAAACCTGGGAGTCTTTCCAGCACTCCGGAGACAGGCCTTGGGACACCTGTCCGCTGTCTTCCCAGCGTTGGCCTCCCTGAAATAAATCCCTTTCTTCTTTTACGGCCACTCGTGTCTCTGCCTTTGGGTTTTGTCAGCGGCATGTGGCCAAGCCCGGTCTGATTGGGTCCCCCTAGAGCCAGGGGCTCCTGCACCTCTGCGCCCTGGTGGTTATACCTGCAGAGCAGCACTCTGCAGCTGGAACCCCACTTGGGCCTGTGCCCACCCTCATGCCTCACCCTCCCGCCCCCATGCCACAGGGGCGCTGTGACCTGACCTGGGAACAGGCTGGTGGATTCCAGCCCCAGAACAGTGTCATCTCCCACTGGAGGTGAACTTGACATCCTTGCTGCCTGTTACGAGTTCACTGTGTCCCCCCAACTCACATGTCATCATCCCCACCCCCACCCCCACCCCCTGGACGTGGCGGTGTGGCCTTGTTTAGAACTAGGGCTTTCCCAGCGGCTCAGCAGTTTAGCACCACCTGCAGCCCGGGGTGTGATCCTGGAGACCTGGGATCGAGTCCCATGTCCAGTTCCCTGCATGGAGCCTGCTTCTCCCTCTGCCTGTGTCTCTGCCTCTCTCTCTCTCTCTCTCTCTCTCTCTCTCTCTCTCTCTCTCATGAATAAATAAATAAAGTCTGAAAAAAAAAAGAACTAGGGCTTTCTGCAAATGTAATCACATTACAGTGAAATCGTTAGGGTCACCCCAAGTCCAGCATGACTGGTGTCCTTAGGAAGAAGGGAAGACAAGACGTGGCACGGGGAGACCCAGGGAGACACGGGGAGCTGACGGGCATCTAAGCCAAGGCCAGGGTGCAGACACACGCTCCTCCACGCCCTCGGGAGGAAGCAGCCCTGTTCGCTCCTGACCTTAGGGCCTCTGGCCTCCAGAGCTGGGAGAGAATCCTTTTCTGCTGGTGAAGCCTCCCTGGTCTGTGGCTCTTTCTGGGGCTGCCCTGGTACGTGGGCCAGGCTTCCAGCTTCCCCCTGGGACACCACCCCGTGGCCACCAAGCTCGCCCTCTGATGGTCCGAGGCGACCGGCATGGGTCCCAAAGACGCTGGCGGCCATGGAAGGACAAGCTGGCTGGGCTCAGCTCGTATCTCCCGTCCCAGGTTCTCCGAGGCTTTCCCAGCGTCAGTGTGCTGTCCTACCAGCAGACCTTGAAGACTAATCATAGTCCCAGAAACAGTCGCCACTGTCCCCAGGCTCCTCCCGGCCGGGGTGCTGGGCCTGAGGTCAGCAACAAGGGATGGGGGGCTCCAGACGCTCGACCACTGTCACGACATGCTTGTATCCCCCCAGAATGTGGAAGCCCCGTTCTGTGGGCTGTGGAAGCCCCACCCCCCAAGTGATGGTTTTTGGAGATGGACCTTTGGGGGGTGATGGTTAATTGGGGTCGTATGGAGCGGAGACTGATTTGATGGGTCTGGGTCCTTAGAAGAGGAAACAGCAGAGAGCTGGCTGTGTCTGCGTGCAGGCCTGAGGACAGGGGAAGGCACCCACAGGCGGGGAAGAGAGCTCGACCGGGTAGAATGGGTGCGGGTCCCCGTGCAAGGTTGGCCTCCCAGGGGCCGGAACTGTAAGAGGGTGCACCTGCCGTGTGAGCGCCCGGCCTGTGGGATCTTGTCGCGGCCTGAGCTCGGATAATCACGGTGGACATCTTGGGGACCGCACCTTTCTTCGGTGCCCTGCACTGCCGGCAGACCCCACCGCCCCCTGGCTGAGACGTCACCAGCGCGCGAGGTGTGGCTG